CACATTCTTCACATGTGCCCCAAAACCTAAAATGCAATAAAAAAAAATTAAAATTAAAAAAAAAAAAGAAAGAATTTAGGGTGAGTCCAGTGAAAGCAAGTTTATTAGGAAAGTAAAGAAATAAAAGAGTGGCTGCTCCATAGACAGAGCGGCCCCGAGGGCTGCCGGCTGCCCATTTTTATGGTTATTTCTTGATGGTATGCTAAACGAGGGGTGAGTTATTTATGCCTTTCTTTTTTAGATCATATAGGGTAACTTCCTGACATTTGCCAGGCATCTGTAACTGTCATGGCGCCGGTCGGGGTGGAGCAGTGAGGACAACCAGAGGTCACTCTCATGGTCATCGTGGTTTTGGTGGGTTTTAGCTGGCTTCTTTACTGCAACCTGTTTTATCAGCAAGGTCTTTATGACCTGTATCTTGTGCCCACCCCCTGTCTCATCCTGTGACTTAGAATGCCCTAACTGTCTGGGAATGCAACCCAGTAGGTTTCAGCCTTATTTTATCCACTCCCTACTCAAGATGGAGTTGCTCTGGTTTAAATGCGTCTGACAGAGCACACGGATGCAATCTGTAGAGTGGGTCTGGAGGGCAAATGAAAGTCATCTAGCACAAACAGGTGGCTGAAATAAGCAAGCTACTGATATACTATTTAATATATTATTTAGTTACACCTCAGGAATTACAATCACATGTGTTGGATATATAGCTTCTCCGCAAAATGATTTTCTTTGTTCATGGATCATTGGGACAAAATTTCAAGGACGTTGAACCTCAAAAGAAACTCATAGGTAGATCTCTCTATGGAGGATCCATTTTACAGAAGCAACAGTAAGTAAAGTGTCTTGAACAAGGTTTCACACAAGTTTGTGATTGTCCCGAGAGTAGAGGCCAGGCCTGTGGTTTCCTTTGCCACGTTCTGACACCCAGAACAGGCTGCCACGGGCCCTCCGTGGTGCTCTTCTACAGAGGTGCCAGACCCTCCCTGTTCATTTCCCAGCTTCCCAGAAAAATTCAAGCCGGGGTCTTTCTCCCACAGCCCTCTGGGAAGGCCTTTGGAAGGTGTCAGTGAGACAGCCATGTGGGAAGGGCTCCCTGGCAGAGCCTCCCTCCGACCTGTACACAGGGAAATGTATACACTGGGGCGGGGCCACAGAAATCTGCGCCTTTTGCAGTGGGGAGAAGCCTGGCCTCTCCTCTTCCAAGCTGAGATTCAAACTGTAAGGTAGGAAGCACACCAGCAGGGACTCTGGACTTGCAGAGAGTCCTTGTTCCCCCCTTTTTTCCTTTCTGTCCAATAAATCCCATTATTTTCACTCTTCAAATCATCTGCAAGCCTAAATTTTCATGGCCATGGGACAAGGACCCTGTCTTCAGCTGAACTAGGAAAAGTCCTGCAACAGTAGGGTCAAGGTCCTTGACCGAGGGCAAACACCAGACTTTGAAGTCTGCATGCTTTGAGGCCCTGGGCTCCTTCTGCAAACTTCTGGGCACTCTATTTCATCCCACAATCCATTGTTGAGCCAGAGGATGCTGTTCCTGACATTCTTGCCTGAATATTGGACATCAGGAACCAAAAGCACAGCCCTGGTTGCATTGTTTTACATGACTTGGGGACTCAACCTGGCTCAAGGCGCAGCTCAAATGCGTCTTCCTTCCCCTGATGGAAATATGCCTGAATTGTGCCTGAACTGAAGCCGTGAATCCACTGTTCTGAATCATTAATTGTCTGTCTTCTACCATGAGTGAGCCTGGGGGCACAGACCACATGTCACGTCCACCTTGGCGTTCCCAGTAGTTGGCCTCCTTTCTTAGACCTGGGAGAACCTTTGATTACCATGTGAATCTCCTGGGATAAGAACTGTATTCCAGAGTGGAAAAAGTGTGACTGGCCTTGAGAGTAGAGAATGGAGGTATCAGCCCTGGGAAGAGGGCGAGTGTCAGCTCCTGTATTGCAGGAAAGGCACTTCTCCTGCTAGTTTAGGTCAGATGGCATAGACAGCTCAGACCTGGCTTCTGGTGGAGGGACAAAGGGGTAAACACCACAGCTGCACCTAAGAGAGAATGGACAAGGGTGAGTTACTCTCACGTCTACAATTCCTGAGATGGGTGTGACTTCCCTGTCTTGTTAGGAACTGGTAGGAAACACTGCAACAAGTGTGGGAGAGGCTGATTGTCTTAGTTTGTTTTCTGTTGCTTAAGCAGAATACCTGAAACAAACAAGATATCTTTCAGTGGATGAATGAATAAACTGTAGTACATCCAAGCAATGGACTATTATTCAGCACTAAAAAGAAATGAGCTCTCAAGCCATGAGAAGACACGGAGGAACCTTAAATGCATATTGCTAAGTTAAAGAAGCCGACCTGAAAAGGCTATATACTGTGTGATCCCAACAATATGATATTCTGTAAAGGCGAAACGATGGAGACAGTAAAAGAATTAGTAGTTACCAGGGGCTGGAGGGGAAGAAAAGATGAATAGGTGGAGCACAAAGGATTTTTAGGGCAGCAAAACTATTCTGCGAGATACTAAAATATGGATACATGTCATTATATATTTCTCCAAACCCATAGAATGAATAACACCAAGAGTGAACCCTGATATAAATTACAGACTCTGGGTGATAACAATGTGTCACTGTAGATTCATTAATTGTAACAAGTGCACCAGTGTGGTGGGAGCTGTTGATTTGAGGGAGGACTGTTGGTTGTGGTTATATAGGAACTGTACTTTCTACTAAATTTTGCTGTGAACCTAAAACTGCTCTAAAAAATATTTTTTATTTTTTATAATTCCACTAGATCACTGTAAAAATTAAGTCTTCTGAATTAAAAGCATAATAATATTTCATAACATAAAATTGCAGGAAATTTAAATTTCTATGTTCCTAACTAAAATTTTATTGGAATGCAGCCACACCCATTTGTTAATATTTCTATAGCTGCTTTCAGGCTACAACAGCAGGGTTGAGTAGTTGCAATGGAAACCAAATTCCCACAAAGCCTCAAATATCAACTAGCCGGCGTCTTATGGAACAAGTGTGCTCTTGTCCATCTACTTTCCAAGGCACAGATTGGATTGAATGTCGAAGGCAAATAGAACATTTCCAGCCAGGGTATTTATTGGTCACAAAGGCCAATGAACTATATCAGGTAGTTGTGATATTTTTACTTTTAGTGCGACCCATATGACTTTTAGACAGTTCCATGCAAGTCAGCAGAATCCCATTTAGACACTGAGGTCTCTCTGCTTTTTTACCTCAGGGCTTATAGTCAGTGGATAATTACCTAACCTCCCCATGTTTTGGTGGGCTTATTATATAAGTACTTCAGGGGACCGGGATTGGTGGTTCACGCATGTAATCCCAGCACTTGGGAAGGCCAAGGTAGGCTGATCACTTGAGTTTAGGTCACTCTTCTTGTTGAGACCAGCCTGGTCAACAAGGTGAAATCCCGTCTCTACTTAAAATACAAAAATTATCTGGGTGTGACAGCACACAACTATAATCCCAGCTACTGGGAGGCTGAGGCAGGAGAATAACTTCAACCCCGGGAGGTAGAGATGGCAGTGAGCTGAGATGGCACCACTGCCCTCCAGCCTGGGCGAAGTGTAAGATGCCACAAAAAAAAAAAAAAAAAAAAAAAAAAAAGGTACTTCAGGGATCCGCAGTAGGAATGAGATCAGTTGCCACAGCGGTAACCAGCCCATCACCTTGCCCTTAATTAGCTTTCTTGCCTTTGTTTTCTCTCTTTCCTTCTCCCACATTTCTGCTTCCCGACATAATTTCCCAAGTAAACTACATACGACCAAGTACTTTTCTCAGATCTTGCCCTTATAGAAACTCAAAGTAAGAGAATAATATTGTTCTATGTTGTTTAAAGCATCAATTGTTTAATCATTTGGAATTCCAAACACATACAAACTTTCTACTTATATTTTTGTTACTGAGAATTTGATTATTTTGTGATCAGAGACCATACTCTGTGGTTACTTCAAGCCTTTGAAAGTAACCTTTACGGCTCTTGATTTTGTATGACAAAGTCATCTTAGTGCTTTGTTAGTAAAAGAGAGAAAATCTGAAAGTCCCTGCCATCAAAGGAAGAAATGGGAGAAAAGGAAGTTGGTAAGTTTCAGCCCTTTAGAGCTTGTGGGACAAGTTAGGTTTCTATTTTATGGAGAAGGAGGTGGAGGCAGGATGGGTTCCAAGGTGTCATTCAAGACACACAGCCGTAACTCTTCAGTGAGAGTAGAGCTAGGGCCCCAGGGATTGCTGTGGTCAAGTTGCAGACGAAAACCACCACTCATTGGAAGACAGGAGAGGAATATTTCAGGTGCATCTACATTGAGTCAACAAATAAAAGTTCAGCTTGGTTGCTAATGGGACCCACTCTGCTAACTGCCACTTTGTATAGAACTCCTAGAGGAAGATGGCTTCCAGTAATGAACCGCCCTGTTTTTAGGACTAAAAAGCTCAGGAAGCTGGTGGGGGATGAGTGAAAACCTTAGTTCCACTGGCACTGAAGGAGGGGCCAGGAGAGCAGTGGCATCATAAGGCACAGGGTGGGGCAGCCCGGGCAGTGGGGGAGGGGTGGCAGCCAGGATGGGGCATTGTGAGGTGTGGGGCGGGGCATTGTGAGTCACGTGCCTGGGCTTCCACCTGGGCCAGTGGGCTTCAGTCTGTAGTGACTGCAGAAGGAGGAGCAGCTCCTTTTGTGCTCTCTTCAGGTAGTAGTTGTATCTCTCAGCGCTTGTTGGGTTTCCAACCTATTAAATTAGCCATCTGTTTTTGACCCTCCCAGACAAGTCAACTCAGGAGAGGCGGCAGGGTGCGGGCCTTGGCCCGAGCCCCGGCTGGGGCCGGGCTGTGGGGTGGCCAGGTGAGCCGCCGGCAAGACCATCTCTGAAAGTGCGGCATAGCCTCGGCCTAGGGCAGCAGGAGTGCCTGGCCAACACTGTGAGCGGAGGCACAGGTGGCAGCAGACAGGAGTAGAGGCGCCCCATGGGGAACATACTGAGCTGCTGTGTGTGCCCCAAGGTCTGCCAAGAGTCAGACCAGGATGAGGGGTCAGGGTGTCCTCCTGAGTCTAAAATCTGTGAGGCAGCAGCTGAGAACACCGCAGCAGCTGAGGACACGGCAACAGCTGAGGACACGGCAGCAGCTGAGGACACGGCAGCAGCTGAGGACACGGCAGCTGAGGACACTGTAGCAGCTGAGGACACCACAGCAGCTGAGAACACGGCAGCAGCTGAGGACACCACAGCAGCTGAGGACAGGACAGCAGCTGAGGACATGGCAGCAGCTGTGGACTCGACAGGAGCTGAGAACACGGCAGCAGCTGAGGACACCACAGCAGCTGAGGACGCGACAGAAGCTGAGGACACCACAGCAGCTCAGGATACGGCAGCCCCAGCGCCCACGGCTGCTGCCATAGAACCTGCCGAGTTGACTGTTGAAGCTGGTGAGGACCGTCCTGTGCATGACATCTGTGATGGGGAGATGCCTGAAGGTAAGGAGGTGACGGTGCCATCTGCCCTGACCACCCCTCTGGCTGCTGCTGTCTTCAGGGTCCCCTGGGTGTCATCCCCTACCTCAGGCTCCTTTTTGCCTGTAGCCAGCTTTTCCAGGGCTGGTCAGAAACAAAGGCTGGCTCTGCCTTGCGTTCCTTTTTCCACCGCTTAGTCTTTCTCCACGGAGTCCAGTCAATTTCTTTTCTCCTCCCTTCCCAAACACCCAGTTCTTGCTCCCTCATCTCATTCTCTCAGGCTGGCCTGGGACCATTTATTTATGTCTCCTGTCTGTAGCTCTGTTCATTATTCTGTGGGATTTTGTTGAGGCTTTTTTGGAATATTCTCTTCCTTTTCTCAATAAAAACTCAAATACCCCAACTTTCCAGTACCCATCTCATTCTTTTTTTGTACCTATCCAGATGGTACCTAAGTGAAGGAACCAGGTAAGTGCCTAATTATTTCCTTCGTTAAAGTAGCTAAATCTCAGGACAATTCATACTGAAATATTTGGGGATTTCTTCTTTGAAATCAGAATGAAGGTTGCCGTGGGAGAGATGATAGGATGTTCTTAATGGGTTGCTTTAAGTCACCTTGATAGGTGCTTATTTTTTTCTCTCTGTAATTTGAACACAAAAGGAAAGAAAATGGGAGGATGCTTAAAATAATTGTGAAAGGTATGAAATGTCATGGCCAGGGCTGCAGAAAAATGGGTTTGTTTTCCCCCAAAGGAGTTTACCTATGAGACTCTGATGACTTTAAAATTCTTACTTTAACACGAAATATGTCTCTAGATTTATTCTGGTGACTTAACAGACTTTATCTACCTCCTTGTTCTAAAAGAGAGGTAGGGATGGTTCGTGGTCAAAACTTTCAAAAGACGTGAAATGTCAATGTAGACTTTTAACGTGTAACATAAAGATTGAAGGTTAAAACTGGGGAGAGTGTTTGCTGCCATGGCTCCCCCTTTGTCCTTCCCCTACCTGACAATAGCATCTTGTTCAAAGATAAGAAAGTAAAGCGTTTAAGAAGCTGGAAGCCATCGTTCTCAGCAAACTAACACAGGAACAGAAACCAAACCCCACATATTCTCTTTCATAAGTGGTAGTTGAACAATGAGAACACATGGACACAGGGAGAAAAACATCACACACTGGGGGGTTCATTGTGGGTGGGGTGTAGGGGGACGGAGAACATTAGGACAAATACCTAGTGCATGTGATGTTTAAAACCTCGATGATGCATTTATAGGTGCAGCAAACCACCAGGGCACATATATACGTATGTAACAAAGCTGCACGTTCTGCACATGTATCTCTGAACTTAAAACAAAACAAAACCAAAAAACAGAAAAACCAACATTGGTTGGGCTCTTAGTTTTTTTCAGAGGCAGAATAATTAAGACTCATGATGAATGTGACTTTGTAACTTGAAGTACTATGCTCACTTTTCAAGATGTTTAAGAATTTTGAATAAATATATATTATGTGAATTGATTATACCTTTATACACAAAATGTGTAGGTACTTGTGTAAACTTATACTCTGGTTGCTGGTGTAAGGAAAGCCTGTGAGTGATTTTACACAATGGTTCATAGATGGGTTGGTGTTGGAGTAGAGAACAAAAGAGCTCTTTATTGCTATTCTTTAGGATTACAATACAGTTTATGTATGTCTCTTTTGGCCCCTTCCAATACAAAGACGGCTTGTGTATGTTCTCCGTGTGTATTCCTAATGAAGAAATGAAGACAGAGATCTCGCATGACAATGGAAGACAGCTGCTCAACAGAACTAAGGTTCTGTGTCTTCAGAATGACATGGAAGTGACAAATATGCTGAATTTACTTAAAAAAAATTTTTTTTTTTAAAGATGGGGTTTCACCATATTGGTCAGGCTGGTCTCAAACTCCTGACCTCAGGTGATCTGCCCACCTCAGCCTCCCAAAGTACTGGGATTACAGGTGTGAGCCACCGCGCCCAGCTACTTTTTAAAAAATTTTTTAGCTGGGCATGGTGGCGCGTGCCTGTAATCCTAGCTACTCAGGAGGCTGAGGCAGGAGAATTGCCTGAACCCAGGAGGCGGAGGTTGCGGTGAGCCGAGATCGCGCCATTGCACTCCAGCCTGGGTAACAAGAGCGAAACCCCGTCTCAAAAAAAAAAAAAAAAATTTTTTTTAAACTCCACAATACATCTTATATTTTGTCTGTAAACTAGGCCTCTCTTTAAAAATTTATTGCCATCTTGATTTATTTTAGGCCATGTTGATTTTATACAACTCAAAGGGAACATTTACCTCTTTCTTTTTTTTTTTTTTTTTTTTTAATAAAAAAGAGTCTCACTTTGTTACTCATGCTGTCCTAAATTCCTGACTTGGCTTTAAGGGATTTTCCTATCTCATCCTCCTGAGAAGCTGGGAGTACAGGCAAGCGCCACCTTGTCTGGCCTTGTCTTATGTCTATACATTCATTTCGATGGATAAGAATAAAAGTAGAGGTAGTGAAATGGCCTCCTTGTAGAATAAATGAGTTGATAAATTGTTATGATGATCACGTCTTTTTTCTTTTCTCTTTGTATAGATAGGGCTTTGGAGTCCGACCCTTCTGATCATCCAGAAGCAAAGAAATCTGAAGTCGATGGTGAGACAACATTGTTATTTTCCACAAAGAAAGAGTGAAAACTCTTGTTTGATGAGGTGTATAATAGAAAGTGTTTAGCAAAACTCATATTGGTTTAAATTTTTAAAATTTTCACATATTCACTTGTGTTATTTTAACATGTGATGTACTTTCCTTTCGTTGTTATCATGTTAGTGAAAACATGTCAACTTTTTGTTTATACATTTTCCCATCTTATTATCAACACGATTTGTCATGTAATGGAGGAGTCTTCGATTTATCTTTATGTTTAATTCTTTGTCCCTTTTCCCAATGGATAAGAATAAAAGAGGCCGGGCATGGTGGCTTAAGCCTGTAATCCGAGCACTTTGGGAGGCCGAGGCAGGTGAATCACGAGGTCAAGAGATCGAGACCATCCTGGTCAACATGGTGAAACCCCATCTCTACTAAAAATACAAAAAAATTAGCTGGGCATGGTGGCGTGTGCCTGTAATCTCAGCTACTCAGGAGGCTGAGGCAGGAGAATTGCCTGAACCCAGGAGGCAGAGGTTGCGGTGAGCCGAGATCGCGCCATTGCACTCCAGCCTGGGTAACAAGAGTGAAACCCCGTCTCAAAAAAAAAAAAAAAAAAAAAAAAAGAATAAAAGTAGAGGTAGTGAAATGGCTTCCTTGTCGAATAAATGAGTTGATAAATTGTTATAAGTGATTACATATTTTTTCTTTCCTCTGTATAGATGTGACACTGGAGTCCAACCCTTCTGAAGCAACGACATCCCAGACAGATAGTGAGACAACATTGTTTTTTTCCGCCAAGAAAAAGAGTGAAAAATCTTGTTTGATCAGATGTATTATAAAAAGTATTTAGAAAAACTCGTATTATCCGACACAGTGGGAGATCTCTTTCCCCTCCTGAATTGCCCCTCTGGAGTCCTGCTTCCACACACTTTCTCTTGTCGAAGCTTTCTCTCTTCTCTGTTTCTCTCTCCTTCTCTCTATAAATAAGTCACTCCTCTGCACATAAACAAACAAAAAGAAAAACTCATATTGGTTTAATACCAGAATGAGAATTTGCTTCTTATCATGAGAATGGCACCAAGCCATTTATAAGGAATGCTCCACAATTACCCAAGCACTTCTAACTAGGTCCTGTCCTCAGCATTAAATTAAGGGTTTCATTTTAACATGAGATTTGGAGAGGGAGGCATATCCAAACCATATCAGAGGTGTATTTCCCAGTTCCTTCCAGAGACATGGGCTTCTCACACCTGGAGAGCATGAAAGCAGAAAAAAGAAAAGCGATTCCATGTGCGTCACACTTCAGTGATAGGAATGTTTGCCTACAAGGCCCTTCCAGCATTAAAGGTGTAGGCAGTGTAGGAAACAAAGCATGGCCCAAGTCCCTCTTGGAGCTTTTATTATTCTGGCTTTTCTTTCTTTCTTTCTTTCTTTTTTGCTGCAGACACCATGCCCAAATTAGGTTTGTCTACTTAAGATTTTAATTTGGCTGGGTGCGGTGGCTCATGCCTGTAATCCCGGCACTTTGGGAGGTGGAGGTGGGTGGATCATGAGGTCAGGAGTGCGAGACCAGCCTGACCAAAATGCTGAAACCCCGTCTCTACTAAAAAACTAGCCGGGCATGGTGGGGTGTGCCTCTAATCCCAGTTACTCAGAGGCTGAGGCAGGAGAATTGTTTGAACACTGAAGGCAGAGGTTGCAGTAAGCCAAGGTCACACCATTGTGCTCCAGCCTGGGTGACAGAGCGAGACTCCTCCGTATCAAAAAATAAAAAAGAACAAACAAACAAAAGATTAAATTTCAGATAGATTACTTTTCAGTTGTGTTAAGATCCTGTTTTTGTTTGTTTTGTTTGTAGTAACAGATTAGTAGATGACCAGTGATTGTGGTTGGAGAGGCTTACAGGGATTCTGGTGCATCTAGAGATGGGTGCCTGGCCAGGAAGTAGTTCTTAGATCTGTTAGCTCTTAGATTCCAGTAATTAAGCTATGTGTGAATGCAGAATGGCTCATATATGCAACAATTAAATTTTTTAATTAGCTAAATTTTTCATCTGGCATAATTTTTGTGCCCTTTTGTACATGAGTATTATTTCACTCCTATGTAATAAAAACAGAAAGTAAACTAGGTCAAAAAATAAATCTCAGTTTTAACATTTTACTTTATGAGATTTATCATGCCAGAGAGTTTAAATTATAAATTGTAGAAATTAATTTTTTTAATGAAATTTTCTCTGATTGTACATAGGAGTAGTCAGTAAGATGTTAACAACTACTTTTATTTTATATTATTTGTGTCAGAAGTGACTTTTTTTTCTTTCATTCTTAGCACAAGAAATAGGAGAAAACAGCAGTACAAACTATGTAAGTAAATAGTCAAAAAGTTGAGAAATTGATAGTTTGATGAAAAACTATGTCTCTCTTGATTCCTTTAAAGTATAATGGGGACCCAGTGGTGATAGGATGGACCTCATTTCATGGATTTTCTGAATCTCTTCTACTTTCCTATCCCAAAAAGTCTTCAGCTTAGTGTGCCCACCTTTTAAGGATTGCTGACGCTCAAGTTAAATTTCAGTAGTTGCTTGTGGTATAAAGATCTGCTTTAAATATTTAATCTTATTTTTAATGAAATAACAAAAATAGAAGAGCTCAGTTAATTGTCAGTGTGGTCTATTGACCCTCTGTCACAGCAGGTGAAAACATATCTTCCTTGCTAACCATGACCTTATTTTTCTCCCTCTGTTTCTTTCAATTGTAGCACACTTTTTAATTCAATCAGTAATATTGACATGATTACGACTATCCAAATACTATTCACTGCTGAGTTATATGTTGTTTTCACTGTGTCTCTTCCTTACATATTCCTTCATCCTTTCTCTGAAACAGTTCTGAAATCTGAGCACTTCTGCACTTCTTCTGGATCATCTTTTTTTCCCTAGCCTACGTTGGTTTATCCAGCCAAATGCAATAAGTAGCCTCTGGATGGTCTGTCACTTTATTGAAAAATAATAATTATTGTTAAATTATATTTTACATATAATTTACATTTCACATCCATTATTTTTTAGCATGAAGCTAATTTTCTGACTATATTCATTTGCCTGTTTTCTAACAGCTGATCCCCCCACGAAGTGTTGTAGCATTTATCACATGCCTTTCAAAGATATTGTCCATCTGCTAAAACATATCTGTTCCTCTTTGTTTTTTCGAGTGGTGGGCAGCCTTTCCTTGGCCTTTTGTCATCCTAGTTCAGTATAGAGAGGCTTTCCCTAGATATGCTTGATGTCTTAGTCTAGCTGTGCTATCTCTTTAAAGTCTTTTGGGATCTCACATAACTGCCGCCTTGTGTGGGATCGCCTGAGTCCTAGATTCTGTGTTTCCTTCTGTCCTGTTATCCTCTCTAATTGTACTTAAGCAAACTTTCCTGGGCAGAGATTTTTTTTTTTTTTTTGAGACAGAGTTCCGCTCTTGTTACCCAGGCTGGAGTGCAATGGCGCGATCTCGGCTCACCGCAACCTCCGTCTCCTGGGTTCAGGCAATTCTCCTGCCTCAGCCTCCTGAGTAGCTGGGATTACAGGCACGCACCACCATGCCCAGCTGATTTTTTGTATTTTTTTTTTTTTCATTTTTATTACTCAAAGTTTCATTTTTTATTTAGCTTTCTGACTCTGTGCTTGCGCCTTCAACACTTTCACAACGATTTTCTGCTCCTCGATAAGGAAAGCACGCTTAATCCTGTCACGGACACATTTAGCACACATGGAACCACCATAGGCCCTGCTAACATGTTTCTTTGTTTTGGACAATCTCATAAGAACTTTAGGTCGTACAGCACGAACCCCTCGAAGCCTGCCTGGGCACACACCACATGCTGATTTTGGTGCTTTCCCAACCTTCTTGGTATAAAGGTAAACAATTCTATTACCAGGGGTCCGGGACAGCCTAGTTTTGCTAGAGGCGGTATTGTAGGAAAGCCTACGTCGGTATGTCAAACGCTGGACCATTCTGAGTGCCTGCACACAACGTCCCCGGAAGAGGAAGAAGATTTTTTGTATTTTTTTTAGTAGAGACGGGGTTTCACCATGTTGACCAGGATGGTCTCGATCTCTTGACCTCGTGATCCACCCGCCTCGGCCTCCCAAAGTGCTGGGATTACAGGCTTGAGCCACCGTGCCCGGCCTCCTGGGCAGAGATGTTTAGAGATCTGAGCAGTCTTAAAATTCTTCTTCCTTGATAGAGAGTAAACTTCTAGGTTGAATCTAAATTTATGGTTCCGAAGATATTCTGCAATTGTGCTCTCATCACAGCGTTCTTGAATCTATTGCCATTGCATGACACGTTATTTATAACCACGTTTTATGTATTTTTGGAAGCTTTTTCAGCGTTTTCTGTCTCTGAGATTCTGAAATTTCATAATAATAGCTTGGTGGGGGATCTTTTCATTTTACTGAGGCTACTAAGTCTGCAGACTCTCTCTTTTTGAGAATGTTTTTTATTTTCTCTGTTCCTTCTTTCTGATAGTTGTGTTACTCAGGCGCTAGGCTGCTTAGACCAGTAGACTGCTTTGGTTTCCAATTTTTTCCTTTCAATTTTTTTCAGTTGTCCTTTTATTCTACATCTGGAATATGCTATGAGTTTATCCTCTATTATATCTATTGAATTTTATATATTTTTAAGAGTGTTTTAACATTTTT